TCATGAGTAGGCTGGCCGTTTTTCTGGTTTTATAGTAAATCGTCAGTTGTATCCTCTGATTTTTGTCTGTAGGGATAACGTTTCTATTAACAATATCTTTCAGGACCCTTTCCTCCGTTTTATGAGCTGTGGAAAAGAAGTTCCTGTAAAATAGTCTAATAGGGGGTATAGGTGTTGTGTTAGTTGTCTCTTCAGAGGTTGCATGGCTTTTCACTTTCCTTCTTATGATGTCTTCGATGAAACCATTGGAGAAGCCGTTATTGACTAGGACCTGCCTTACCCTACAGAGTTCTTCGTCGACTTGCTTCCATTCTGAGCTGTGGCTGAGAGCACGGTCGACGTATGCGTTAACAACACTCCTCTTGTACCTGTCAGGGCAGTCGCTGTTGGCATTTAGGCACATTCCTATGTTTGTTTCCTTAGTGTAGACTGCAGTGTGGAAACCTCCGCCCTTTTCCATGACTGTTACATCTAGAAAAGGCAGCTTCCCATCCTTTTCCGTCTCGTAAGTGAAACGCAGCACGGAACTCTGCTCAAATGCCTCCTTCAGCTTCTGCAGATGTCTGACATCAGGTACCTGTGTAAAAATGTCGTCAACATACCTGCAGTATATGGCCGGTTTCAAGTTCATGTCGACTAAGACTTTTTGCTCGATGGTACCCATGTAGAAGTTTGCAAACAGGACACCTAGGGGAGAACCCATGGCGACCCCATCTACTTGCTTATACATGTGCCCATCCGGGCTCAAGAAGGGTGCCTCTTTAGTACAAGCTTGGAGTAGTTTCCTCAGAATACTTTCTGGCATGTCAAGAGGAGTACAGGCTGGATCACGATACACTCTGTCGGCTATCATTCCGATTGTCTCGTCCACAGGTACGTTGGTAAACAGCGATTCTACGTCCAACGAGGCTCTTATCCCTGTGGCCCGTGTGCCCCGCAGTAAGTCCACAAATTCCTTTGGAGACTTCAGGCTGAAGGCGCAAGGAACATAAGGAGTCAGCAGGCCGTTGAGTCGCTTTGCCAGTCTGTACGTGGGTGTGGGTATCTGGCTAATGATTGGCCGAAGTGGGTTTCCAGGCTTGTGCGTCTTGACATTTCCATACGCATATCCAGGTTTATATTCCCCAATGATCTTTGGCAGGTGGAGTCCGGATTTCTTGGCGTTTACAGTTTCGATCAGTTTGTTGACCTTTGCTTTTAATTCGGCTGTAGTGTCCTTCGTTACCCTTTGGAACTTAGTTTGGTCAGAGAGTATGATGTTCATTTTCGCCAGATATTCGTCTTTTTTAAGAATGACATATATTGGCGACTTGTCACCTCTCCTGACAACTATCTCCTTGTTCTCACGAAGGCTTTTAGCTGCCGCTTTAAGCTCGGGGGACAGTATGGTGCTTCTGTAGTTGCCTCGATTCTTTCCTCCTTCTGCAATAAGTTCTGCTTGTAAGGTATCTTTGGTAGTGACCTTCTTTTGTGTCTCGAGGTCGAATATGTCGTCCAACAGAATTTCCAACTCTACTTTCCGGGCCATTTCACTCGGTCTGGACATAACATGACAGTTTATGCCCAGATTTAGGAGAGTGACTTGGTCCTCAGTGAGGTTAATTCCTGCAAGGTTCAGGAAGCCATCTCTTGGTCGTGGAATTGCCATAGGTCCTCCATATAATGTTGTTAGTTTCTTGATAATCCTTGTTTCAGTGCTGAGGTGATGTTGGTCTGTGAGGATGTCGAGGTGTTGTTCAATGCGGGTACGGATACTATGGTCGATGTTGCTATTTCTCCACTCGTTTGTAGCATGAAGTAGTTGCGTTTTGTTGTCTTTGATTTCATTCTCTGCCTTGTATATCTGATCACGAATCAGATCCTGGCGATATTTTATCGTGAAGGCTTGATTCCTTGCTGCTGGGTCGTGCACTTTAATTTAGTATATTTTGGTAGCAGTCTATATTATTAAATATGACCGAAAAAGTAACAGTCATGGAAAAGGGCGGAGGTTTCCACACTGCAGTCTACACTAAGGAAACAAACATAGGAATGTGCCTAAATGCCAACAGCGACTGCCCTGACAGGTACAAGAGGAGTGTTGTTAACGCATACGTCGACCGTGCTCTCAGCCACAGCTCAGAATGGAAGCAAGTCGACGAAGAACTCTGTAGGGTAAGGCAGGTCCTAGTCAATAACGGCTTCTCCAATGGTTTCATCGAAGACATCATAAGAAGGAAAGTGAAAAGCCATGCAACCTCTGAAGAGACAACTAACACAACACCTATACCCCCTATTAGACTATTTTACAGGAACTTCTTTTCCACAGCTCATAAAACGGAGGAAAGGGTCCTGAAAGATATTGTTAATAGAAACGTTATCCCTACAGACAAAAATCAGAGGATACAACTGACGATTTACTATAAAACCAGAAAAACGGCCAGCCTACTCATGAGAAACTCTCCAGACACAAAACAGAACGCTTTAAAAGAGACTAATGTCGTCTATGCCTTCAAATGCCCACTTGGGGACTGTAAGCTCCAAAAAACCCAGTATATAGGCAAGACAACAACATCTCTTTCTAGGCGTTTAACGATGCATAAGCAACAGGGCTCCATTAAGGAACATATAATCTCTTCCCATAACCAAACCATCGCCAGAGAAATCCTAGTAAACAACACAGAAATCATCGATAGATACAGCGATAGCAGGCGGCTTGACGTTTGCGAGGCACTACACATCAAGAAGTCAACACCAGCAATCAACAGCCAATTATTGCACAACTATATTCTACCCACCTCAAGACTCCGCTCCAATATAGAAGCATCAAGAAATATGGACCAATAGGCTTTCTACAAACACTTCTATTCAATACCCATTGTTTCTGTTCTGTCTTGTGTTGATACTTTTAATACCCTATTAATATCCCCTCCTGTTCTGTCTTGTGTTAATGCCACATCACCCTTCCCACCTCACTCAAATGTAGATATAAAATCAGAGATACGTTCTAATCAGTTGTGTATTTGTGAAGTCTTTGAAAATGTAATAAGTTTTACGAAACGCGCCCGTGTCGCGTCAGACTAGAAATAAAAATGAATTTTGGAGAAGTGATTTTTGATTTACCTCCAACAGTGAAGCGTAATGTACGAAAGATTGAGAAAATTCGTGTTAGAATTATTAATCTTACTTTTTCGGTCATATTTAATAATATATATATATATATAGATATATATATATATATATATATATATATATATATATATATATATATATATATATATATATATATATATATATATGGGTCCCCCTTCTTCCAGCTAGAGGTGGTACTCCCTTCATATAAAAAAAAAAAAAAAAAAAAAAAAAAAAAAAAAAAATATATATATATATATATATATATATATATATATATATATATATATATATATATATATATATATATATATATATATGCAACAATGATCACAAAAACACTGATCCAAGTATGCAGAATAACCACATGTGAAAAATAGAAAATGCTTAACGCGTTTTCGGCTAATTCGCCTACATTCTACTTTGCTCTGATGAAGGCGAATTAGCCGAAAACGCGTTAAGCATTTTCTATTTTTCACATGTGGTTATTCTGCATATATATATATATATATATATATATATATATATATATATATATATATATATATATATATATATATATATATATATATATATATTTAAATAAGAGTATGTAGGATATGTTGAGGAGGGAGGGCCACCCCCCCCCCCAACCCTGAGAAGGTAGGAGACCAGGCTCTTAAAATGGGTGGTTAGGGGTAGGGCATGTGATGAAGGGTGAGAGGGGAAGAGGGGTAGGGCATGTGATGAAGGGTGTGAGGGGAAGAGGGGTAGGCCATGTGATGAAGGGTGAGAGGGGAAGGGAGGGGAGCGGGCAGTAGCTTTTTGTCTGATAGTGGGGGGGGGGGGGCGTATAACTTTCTCACCCAATTCTGTTTATGTCGCTGGTGTTCAATGATGGTGATTAGTTTACACGTCAGACAGGCCTGTGTTGGCGGTAGTAGTGAGATGGGTGAGGTCTGCAAACACACCGCCGTCTCACCTCCGCTATACCTCAAATGCGCCATTCATTCTCTCTCCCTTAGGTGAGCAATGTTCCCCACATACAAATTCCAAGCATGCGTTGTTAGCAAAGTAAACATATATAAGACTAATGTGGAAAGCTGCATGGGATACACATAGCAGTCACTGGTTACCAACCTACATGCTTTTCTCTCTCTCTATTCACATCATTAAATAGTTAGGGTGAAAAGTAAACATCAATTCCTTTCTCCTAATGCCACTGTCACGTATCTTTTTCCTTTCACTTCTTGCATCTGTTTACTTAGCGTTAACAATATTTTCAAATTCATTTAACTTTTAATAGTAAGTAAATGCAGTCAACGTGTCAGTCAAACATGTGGTAGTGAACTGAAGACTGCATCAAGTTATGAGGATAGAATAGTTATACCTGTCCCAGATCTCGCAAGGCATTCCTCCTGAATGAGCTTGAATTGATGGAAGGTCAAAGATCTGACCTCAGCTCTACCTCAAACGCATCATTCATTCTCTCTCTCCATTAGGTGTGTCATGTTCCCCACATACAAATTCCAAGCATTGAGCTGTTAGCAAAGTTCACACGTCATTTCCTTAACCCTGTAGTCTGTCTACATTTCTCCGCGTACAAATTCCAAGCATTGCACTGATAGTAAAGTAAACATATACAAAACATATGACGCTACCATTTCGTTCTGTTTTTACCGATGAGAGCGGTATGAAAGTGGGAGCACCCACCTAAGTCGTAACAGGAGTTGTCTCTCTCTCTCACAGCGGCGTATACATCAGAGATACACTAAAAGGGACGTCATTAGTTCATGTCTTAAACACAGGACCCTGGGTGACTGTTTCTAATGAGTAAGTAAACTTTATTTGAAAAAGAGTATGAGAAGACTGAAAGCCTGACATCTGTAGGATGGGTAAAGAGAGTTTAGTTATTTATCACGAGACGCCGACGCAGTAGTGAAACGTAAATACTGCGGACTGAGACTGTGACCGTGAGAATAATGCTGACTAAGACTGTGACCGTGAGAATACTGCGGACTAAGACTGTGACCGTGAGAATACTGCGGACTAAGACTGTGGCCGTGAGAATACTGCGGACTAAGACTGTGGCCGTGAGAATACTGCGGACTAAGACTGTGACCGTGAGAATACTGCGGACTAAGACTGTGACCGTGAGAATACTGCGGACTAAGACTGTGGCCGTGAGAATACTGCGGACTAAGACTGTGACCGTGAGAATACTGCGGACTAAGACTGTGACCGTGAGAATACTGCTGACTAAGACTGTGACCGTGAGAATACTGCGGACTAAGACTGTGACCGTGAGAATACTGCGGACTAAGACTGTGACCGTGAGAATAATGCGGACTAAGACTGTGACCGTGAGAATACTGCGGACTAAGACTGTGACCGTGAGAATACTGCGGACTAAGACTGTGACCGTGAGAATATTGCGGACTAAGACTGTGACCGTGAGAATAATGCGGACTAAGACTGTGACCGTGAGAATAATGCGGACTAAGACTGTGACCGTGAGAATAATGCGGACTAAGACTGTGACCGTGAGAATAATGCGGACTAAGACTGTGACCGTGAGAATATTGCGGACTAAGACTGTGACCGTGAGAATAAAGATGAACACTGATGTTTCGGAGTGTTATTTTAGTCGAGAAATGATTGAAAGGTATATTGCCTAGTGTGAGAAAGAGACTATGAGGTGTATGGTGAAATAATACAAAAAATATTAGAATTTGTAGGTAGTGATCACGTCTCCCCAACTTATCTGTCTTCTAGCATTGCGTGGTTCACATTTCACAAAAACCTTTCCTCCTAACGCCAACTATTAGTTCGTGAACTAGAGGGTCACCTTTGTTTAAACTAATCTACACACACGATATGAAATGTGGAAAACTAAATCTACACTCATTACGGTGGGAATGAATGAATGAATGTCTGATCTGTCTGTATAAATGCTGGAGATACAGAATTATTGAACTGTTTTCACCTGATTGAGGAATAATTTAGTTAAGGAATGTGAAAGAGTGGTGTTGGGTGATTGTTTGGTAAAAGTTAGCAACATTATGAAACAGAATAAGTGTTTGAAGTGATGAGCAGCTTAAAGATACCTTATTTGTTAGAAGAAATAGCTAGTAATAGTTTAAAATCTTGTTATATGTTTTGACTGTCTATCTATCTAATAGCATATTGCTACATTTTGACTTTGTTATGTTTTACATTGTTGTATAATACACAGAATTTTATATGTGGTGAACAGAACCTCCTCTTACTGCTCATAGATAATGGTGGATGTAAGTATTTTATGAAATATGACTCCTCTTATTCAAATCCTTTTTAAAACTAGATACAATATCCATGTTAAGCTTTGCTTTCTCTTCACTGTTAACACGAGAGAGGGGGGGGGGGGGGGGCTAGGAGAGACAACCGCTGATTAGGCGGTGACGGTAAAGCCATGACGTCGAAGGCTAACGAGCCAAATGTCACACACACACACACACACACACACACACACACACACACACACACACACACACACACACACACACACACACACACACACACACACACACACACACACACACACAGGGGTGCTAAACGCCTCAGGGTTGTCTTACCCATCATCATCGGAGTCAAGGTCAGACGATCTGAAACTGCGTGACTGTCGAAGAGAGAACATATACGGACTTGACGTGTTGAGCCTAGCAAAATTGAAACCATCTATTTCATTAATGCATCAGCTGGGTTGGCAGATATAAAAACAAGGGGGTGTAAATACCTGCTTCAACTATGTTGTATGTTAGAGCGAGCCTTGAAATAAAACCCGATAAATGGCTTGTACTCAGAGATAATGAAAAACCCAATTTTAAAAATATAATATCAAGTCTATGATTTTCCACATTACGTGACATTACATTGTGTCTTACAAGGTCTAAAACAGTTACACAGTAAAAGAATGAGCAAATGATGTTTGCATGTGGGTCACGTTACGTTAGGTAGACACGCTTTACATTTCAAAATGATATTTATTTGGACGATAGAACGCTGATTTCTGCGTTACAATACATTGCGCATGTTACAAGGGAGCTAAAACAGACTCGCAGTAATATTTATATGAAGAATGCGATTGAAGATGGGAAAGAATGATGATCGCACATTGGTCAAGTTACGTTTCAAGGTTACAAGGGTTGGCCTTTGTGCTTATTCCGATGGAGACATGTCAGTCTTCCTTCGGTTAATGTACCGTTTTAAGTCTCCAAACCTAATGGTGCGTTTGTGAACTGGGTTATAAAGGCTTTTGCATAGAACAACCGGTCTATCCAATCCTACGTAATTAATGGCTATGAACTGAAAGTATCTTACACTAAAAACTAAGTTCCTCTGTTAACATCACACACCGACTATTCCATTGAGAATTACTAAGGTGAAGATTAGTCACCTGTAGGATCGTGTGCTAATGTGAGGATGAAAGAGTGGCTGAGCTGGGTGACAACTCAGCGATAAGGAGAGAGAGACAAGACCACTCGATATGAAATGTGAAAAAACTATATGTAAAAAGTTAAATGAATTAGAAATATTGTTAACGCTAAATAACCAGAAGCTATAATTGAGAGGAAAACGTTATGTGAACAGACGCATCCGGAGAAAGCAAAGATGAATGCCTGTCCCCTAACTAAGTATTTAATGATCTGTATACTGAGAAAAGCGTGTAGGATGGCTGGTTGGCTGGTAACCAGTGACTGCTAAGTGTATCCTATGCAGCTGGGTGTTTACAAAATACGTCACCGCTCGCTCATGGCTCATTAGAAACAGTCACCCAGGGTCCTGTGTTTAAGACATGAACTAATGACGTCCCTTTTAGTGTATCTCTGATGTATACGCCGCTGTGAGAGAGAGAGACAACTCCTGTTACGACTTAGGTGGGTGCTCCCACTTTCATACCGCTCTCATCGGTAAAAACAGAACGAAATGGTAGCGTCATATGTTTTGTATATGTTTACTATCAGCGCAATGCTTGGAATTTGTATGTGGGGAACATGGTGCACCTATGGGGAGAGAGAGAAGAGAGAGAATGAATGACGCGTTTGAGGTAGGGCGGAGGTCAGACCTATGACCTTCCTTCAATTCAAGCTCATTCAGGAGGAATGCCTTGCGAGATCTGGCTCGTAGCCTGAATTATCAATCACAGCCTAGTTGATCAGCCCCAGGATGCAATTCCACAACAGTTGTGGTCTTGTCTTCCAGAAGTGTTAAGCTGCCAGAAGTGTTATGCCAGGGATGTGAGGTGTTGGTATAGAGTCCTGGTGGTCTTGTCTTCCAGAAGTGTTAAGCTGCCAGGGATGTGAGGTGTTGGTATAGAGTCCTGGTGGTCTTGTCTTCCAGAAGTGTTAAGCTGCCAGGGATGTGAGGTGTTGGTATAGAGTCCTGGTGGTCTTGTCTTCCAGAAGTGTTAAGCTGCCAGGGATGTGAGGTGTTGGTATAGAGTCCTGGTGGTCTTGTCTTCCAGAAGTGTTAAGCTGCCAGGGATGTGAGGTGTTGGTATAGAGTCCTGGTGGTCTTGTCTTCCAGAAGTGTTAAGCTGCCAGGGATGTGAGGTGTTGGTATAGAGTCCTGGTGGTCTTGTCTTCCAGAAGTGTTAAGCTGCCAGGGATGTGAGGTGTTGGTATAGAGTCCTGGTGGTCTTGTCTTCCAGAAGTGTTAAGCTGCCAGGGATGTGAGGTGTTGGTATAGAGTCCTGGTGGTCTTGTCTTCCAGAAGTGTTAAGCTGCCAGGGATGTGAGGTGTTGGTATAGAGTCCTGGTGGTCTTGTCTTCCAGAAGTGTTAAGCTGCCAGGGATGTGAGGTGTTGGTATAGAGTCCTGGTGGTCTTGTCTTCCAGAAGTGTTAAGCTGCCAGGGATGTGAGGTGTTGGTATAGAGTCCTGGTGGTCTTGTCTTCCAGAAGTGTTAAGCTGCCAGGGATGTGAGGTGTTGGTATAGAGTCCTGGTGGTCTTGTCTTCCAGAAGTGTTAAGCTGCCAGGGATGTGAGGTGTTGGTATAGAGTCCTGGTGGTCTTGTCTTCCAGAAGTGTTAAGCTGCCAGGGATGTGAGGTGTTGGTATAGAGTCCTGGTGGTCTTGTCTTCCAGAAGTGTTAAGCTGCCAGGGATGTGAGGTGTTGGTATAGAGTCCTGGTGGTCTTGTCTTCCAGAAGTGTTAAGCTGCCAGGGATGTGTGGTGTTGGTATAGAGTCCTGGTGGTCTTGTCTTCCAGAAGTGTTAAGCTGCCAGGGATGTGAGGTGTTGGTATAGAGTCCTGGTGGTCTTGTCTTCCAGAAGTGTTAAGCTGCCAGGGATGTGAGGTGTTGGTATAGAGTCCTGGTGGTCTTGTCTTCCAGAAGTGTTAAGCTGCCAGGGATGTGAGGTGTTGGTATAGAGTCCTGGTGGTCTTGTCTTCCAGAAGTGTTAAGCTGCCAGGGATGTGAGGTGTTGGTATAGAGTCCTGGTGGTCTTGTCTTCCAGAAGTGTTAAGCTGCCAGGGATGTGAGGTGTTGGTATAGAGTCCTGGTGGTCTTGTCTTCCAGAAGTGTTAAGCTGCCAGGGATGTGTGGTGTTGGTATAGAGTCCTGGTGGTCTTGTCTTCCAGAAGTGTTAAGCTGCCAGGGATGTGAGGTGTTGGTATAGAGTCCTGGTGGTCTTGTCTTCCAGAAGTGTTAAGCTGCCAGGGATGTGAGGTGTTGGTATAGAGTCCTGGTGGTCTTGTCTTCCAGAAGTGTTAAGCTGCCAGGGATGTGAGGTGTTGGTATAGAGTCCTGGTGGTCTTGTCTTGTGTTAAGCTGCCAGGGATGTGTGGTGTTGGTATAGAGTCCAGAAGTGTTAAGCTGCCAGGGATGTGAGGTGTTGGTATAGAGTCCTGGTGGTCTTGTCTTCCAGAAGTGTTAAGCTGCCAGGGATGTGAGGTGTTGGTATAGAGTCCTGGTGGTCTTGTCTTCCAGAAGTGTTAAGCTGCCAGGGATGTGAGGTGTGGTATAGAGTCCTGGTGGTCTTGTCTTCCAGAAGTGTTAAGCTGCCAGGGATGTGAGGTGTTGGTATAGAGTCCTGGTGGTCTTGTCTTCCAGAAGTGTTAAGCTGCCAGGGATGTGAGGTGTTGGTATAGAGTCCTGGTGGTCTTGGCCTAGTTCCTGCCCTCTTGTCTTCACCTGGCAAGTTGACCTTTGTAGTTCTGGCCTCATGTGTCAAGAAGTTTGGGCTGTGTTAAATATGTGACAAGTATGTTAAATATGTGTTACACAGGTGGCAAGTGTTACACATGTAGCAAGTGTTCCACATGTGACAAGGGATTGGATGTAACACACCCAATCTCGAACATGTGAAATATGAAATACAAAATTATTTGAGTGTCCTCTAGAATTTTATTTACAGAAAACCAAATTCTTTAAACTGAAAGAAAACGAATTAAGTAGAGACTTTAAATTTTACCCCAACGGTTTATAATACTATAAAGTTATAACTAGCGAATATTCTTTGTGTAAGCCAAAGGTTCACTTACCAGTTTACAAGGAGACTATTAATGGAACTGTAACATGATATGCAGGTAGCATGTTCCTGTGAGACGTACTCGCAGGAGACATACTCGCAGGAGATGTACTCACAGGAGACGTACTCGCAGGAGACGTACTCCCAGGAGACGTACTCGCAGGAGACATACTCGCAGGAGATGTACTCACAGGAGACGTACTCGCAGGAGACGTACTCCCAGGAGACGTACTCCCAGGAGATGTACTCGCAGGAGACGTACTCCCAGGAGACGTACTCGCAGGAGACGTACTCGCAGGAGATGTATTCACAGGAGACGAACTCCCAGGAGACGTACTCCCAGGAGACGTATTCACAGGAGACGAACTCCCAGGAGACGTACTCGCAGGGGACGTACTCGCAGGAGACGTACTCGCAGGAGACGTACTCGCAGGAGACGTACTCCCAGGAGACGGGTCCAGGGTTCGAGTCTCCTAGAGCCCAGGTGAATGGAATTTAGGGTTGTTGTTGTGTTGTAAATCTATCATCCCAGGGAGGGTTATTAAGGCCACCACAACAACTTGCTCATCAACCGCCCAGTATACATTCGTCATGAATACAATCCAGGACTAATACAAACTTCCTGTGTATATATATACACCGAAAAATGGAATATCTCTCTCAGTGTATATACACCAAAGAAATTTAATATCTCTCGGTGTATACTCTTGTTGTATGTTGATGTATATCAGGAGAAGGTGCTGACGTACTCGACTTTATTACAGCCAAAACGTCACATGTTACGGGTATGGAAGCATCACGGAATGCTATTCTGTTCTCCGGCACCTCAGCTTGTGCTAACATTATACTTGCAGCTAATATATTATTTAACCTTTAGGTATACTGTTAGTGCTTGTTTCGCGTTGTGTATCTTGACACAAATCCCATTTCAATAATGTTATTCTAAGACGTAATTAAGTCCCCGTATAGCTAAGTCTATTGGACTTTAAAAGTCTCATATTCATTTTCCTCGAAATTTATATTTTTTACCATCATATTTGTCAAGAAAACTCCTCATTCCTTTCTCTGTGTGAATTTGATATTTGTCTTTGAATATCGTATTTTCTCCCTTGAGCCATATTCTTTCCCCATAATGCCTTGCCTGAGCCACTGTATCCGGGTCCTGCTCTTGGGACACCTGTGGGCGGCCCGGTCTCCTCTCACAAATGATGTCCTATTGTGTGTCTTTATATTTTAAACCTGGAGAGAAAGTATTCTCAAAATAAATGTTTAATATGAAACTCTGTCAGCCGGAGTCCATGGACTGTGTGTGTGTGTGTGTGTGTGTGTGTGTGTGTGTGTGTGTGTGTGTGTGTGTGTGTGTGTGTGTGTGTGTGTGTGTGTGTGTGTGACCTGTGTGTGTGTGTGTGTGTGTGTGTGTGTGTGTGTGTGTGTGTGTGTGTGTGTGTGTGTGTGTGTGTGTGTGTACTCACCTATTTGTGCTTGCGGGGGTTGAGCTGTGGCTCTTTGGTCCCGCCTCTCAACTGTCAATCAACTGGTGTACAGATTCCTGAGCCTACTGGGCTCTATCATATCAACATTTGAAACTGTGTATGGAGTCAGCCTCCACCACATCACTGCCTAGTGCATTCCATTTACTAACTACTCTGACACTGAAAAAGTTCTTTCTAATGTCTCTGTGGCTCATTTGGGTACTCAGTTTCCACCTGTGTCCCCTTGTTCGCGTCCCACGAGTGTTGAATAGTTTATCCTTATATACCCGGTCAATTCCCCTAAGGATTTTGTAGGTAGTGATCATGTCTCCCCTTACTCTTCTGTCTTCCAGTGTCGTAAGGTGCATTTCCCGCAGCCTTTCCTCGTAACTCATGCCTCTTAGTTCTGGGACTAGTCTAGTGGCATACCTTTGGACTTTTTCCAGCTTCGTCTTGTGCTTGACAAGATACGGGCTCCATGCTGGGGCCGCATACTCCAGGATTGGTCTTACATATGTGGTGTACAAGATTCTGAATGATTCCTTACACAGGTTCCTGAACGCCGTTCTGATGTTAGCCAGCCTTTACATTACATTTGGTTGGGTTAAACTCTAACAACCATTTGTTCGACCATTCCTTCAGCTTGTCTAGGTCTTCTTGAAGCCTCAAACAGTCCTCTTCTGTTTTAATCCTTCTCATAATTTTAGCATCGTCCGCAAACATTGAGAGAAATGAATCGATACCCTCCGGGAGATCATTTACATATATCAGAAACACGATAGGACCGAGTACAGAGCCCTGTGGGACTCCACTGGTGACTTCACGCCAATCGGAGGTCTCACCCCTCACCGTAACTCTCTGCTTCCTATTGCTTAGATACTCCCTTATCCACTGGAGCACCTTACCAGCTACACCTGCCTGTCTCTCCAGCTTATGTACCAGCCTCTTATGCGGTACTGTGTCAAAGGCTTTCCGACAATCCAAGAAAATGCAGTCCGCCCAGCCCTCTCTTTCTTGCTTAATCTGTGTCACCTGATCGTAGAATTCTATCAAGCCTGTAAGGCAAGATTTACCCTCCCTGAATCCATGTTGGCGATTTGTCACGAAGTCCCATCTCTCCAGATGTGTTACCAGGTTTTTTCTCACGATCTTCTCCATCACCTTGCATGGTATACAAGTCAAGGACACTGGCCTGTAGTTCAGTGCCTCTTGTCTGTCGCCCTTTTTGTATATTGGGACCACATTCGCCGTCTTCCATATTTCTGGTAGGTCTCCCGTCTCTAGTGATTTACTATACACTATGGAGAGTGGCAAGCAAAGTGCCTCTGCACACTCTTTCAGTACCCATGGTGAGATCCCATCTGGACCAACCGCCTTTCTAACATCCAGATCCAGCAGGTGTCTCTTGACCTCCTCTCTCGTAATTTCGAACTCCTCCAAGGCCGCCTGGTTTACCTCCCTTTCTCCTAGCACAGTGACCTCACCCTGTTCTATTGTGAAGACCTCCTGGAACCTCTTGTTGAGTTCCTCACACACCTCTGTCATTCTCTGTATACCTGTCCTCGCCTGTTCTAAGTTTCAATACCTGTTCTTTCACTGTTGTTTTCCTTCTGATGTGACTGTGGAGTAGCTTTGGTTCGGTCTTGGCTTTGTTTGCTATATCATTTTCAAAAATTTTCTCTGCTTCTCTTCTCACCCTGACGTACTCATTCCTGGTTCTCTGGTATCTCTCCCTGCTTTCTGGTGTTCTGTTATTCCGGAAGTTCCTCCACGCCTTCTTGTTCAGTTTCTTCGCTTCCATACATGCCCTATTATACCATGGATTCTTTTGTTGCTTCTCGAAACATAGTGTGTGTGTGTGTGTGTGTGTGTGTGTGTGTGTGTGTGTGTGTGTGTGTGTGTGTGTGTGTGTGTGTGTGTGTGTGTGTGTGTGTGTGTGTGTGTGTGTGTGTGTGTGTGTGTGTGTGTGTGTGTGTGTGTGTGTGTGTGTGTGTGTGTGTGTGTGTGTGTGTGTGTGTGTGTGTGTGTGTGTGTGTGTGTGTGTGTGTGTGTGTGTGTGTGTGTGTGTGTGTGTGTGTGTGTGTGTGTGTGTGTGTGTGTGTGTGTGTGTGTGTGTGTGTGTGTGTGTGTGTGTGTGTGTGTGTGTGTGTGTGTGTGTGTGTGTGTGTGTGTGTGTGTGTGTACTCACCTAGTTGTGTTGTGTTTGCGGGGGTTGAGCTCTGGCTCTTTGGTCCCGCCTCTCAACCGTCAATCAACAGGTGTACAGATTCCTGAGCCTATCGGGCTCTGTCATATCTACACTTGAAACTGTGTATGGAGTGAGCCTCCACCACATCACCCCCTAATGCATTCCATTTGTCAACCACTCTGACACTAAAAAAGTTCTTTCTAATATCTCTGTGGCTCATTTGGGCACTCAGTTTCCACCTGTGTCCCCTTGTGCGTGTTCCCCTTGTGTTAAATAGACTGTCTTTATCTACCCTATCACTCCCCTTCAGAATCTTGAATGTGGTGATCATGTCCCCCCTAACTCTTCTGTCTTCCAGCGAAGTGAGGTTTAATTCCCGTAGTCTCTCCTCGTAGCTCATACCTCTCAGCTCGGGTACTAGTCTGGTGGCAAACCTTTGAACCTTTTCCAGTTTAGTCTTATCCTTGACTAGATATGGACTCCATGCTGGGGCTGCATACTCCAGGATTGGCCTGACATATGTGGTATACAAAGTTCTGAATGATTCTTTACACAAGTTTCTGAATGCCGTTCGTATGTTGGCCAGCCTGGCATATGCCGCTGATGTTATCCGCTTGATATGTGCTGCAGGAGACAGGTCTGGCGTGATATCAACCCCCAAGTCTTTTTCCTTCTCTGACTCCTGAAGAATTTCCTCTCCCAGATGATACCTTGTATCTGGCCTCCTGCTCCCTACACCTATCTTCATTACATTACATTTGGTTGGGTTAAACTCTAACAACCATTTGTTCGACCATTCCTTCAGCTTGTCTAGGTCTTCTTGAAGCCTCAAACAGTCCTCTTCTGTTTTAATCCTTCTCATAATTTTAGCATCGTCCGCAAACATTGAGAGAAATGAATCGATACCCTCCGGGAGATCATTTACATATATCAGAAACACGATAGGACCGAGTACAGAGCCCTGTGGGACTCCACTGGTGACTTCACGCCAATCGGAGGTCTCACCCCTCACCGTAACTCTCTGCTTCCTATTGCTTAGATACTCCCTTATCCACTGGAGCACCTTACCAGCTACACCTGCCTGTCTCTCCAGCTTATGTACCAGCCTCTTATGCGGTACTGTGTCAAAGGCTTTCCGACAATCCAAGAAAATGCAGTCCGCCCAGCCCTCTCTTTCTTGCTTAATCTGTGTCACCTGATCGTAGAATTCTATCAAGCCTGTAAGGCAAGATTTACCCTCCCTGAATCCATGTTGGCGATTTGTCACGAAGTCCCATCTCTCCAGATGTGTTACCAGGTTTTTTCTCACGATCTTCTCCATCACCTTGCATGGTATACAAGTCAAGGACACTGGCCTGTAGTTCAGTGCCTCTTGTCTGTCGCCCTTTTTGTATATTGGGACCACATTCGCCGTCTTCCATATTTCTGGTAGGTCTCCCGTCTCTAGTGATTTACTATACACTATGGAGAGTGGCAAGCAAAGTGCCTCTGCACACTCTTTCAGTACCCATGGTGAGATCCCATCTGGACCAACCGCCTTTCTAACATCCAGATCCAGCAGGTGTCTCTTGACCTCCTCTCTCGTAATTTCGAACTCCTCCAAGGCCGCCTGGTTTACCTCCCTTTCTCCTAGCACAGTGACCTCACCCTGTTCTATTGTGAAGACCTCCTGGAACCTCTTGTTGAGTTCCTCACACACCTCTGTCATTCTCTGTATACCTGTCCTCGCCTGTTCTAAGTTTCAATACCTGTTCTTTCACTGTTGTTTTCCTTCTGATGTGACTGTGGAGTAGCTTTGGTTCGGTCTTGGCTTTGTTTGCTATATCATTTTCAAAAATTTTCTCTGCTTCTCTTCTCACCCTGACGTACTCATTCCTGGTTCTCTGGTATCTCTCCCTGCTTTCTGGTGTTCTGTTATTCCGGAAGTTCCTCCACGCCTTCTTGTTCAGTTTCTTCGCTTCCATACATGCCCTATTATACCATGGATTCTTTTGTTGCTTCTCGAAACATATTGTGTGTGTGTGTGTGTGTGTGTGTGTGTGTGTGTGTGTGTGTGTGTGTGTGTGTGTGTGTGTGTGTGTGTGTGTGTGTGTGTGTGTGTGTGTGTGTGTGTGTGTGTACTCACCTGTGTGTGTTGCGGGGGTGTGTCTTTGTGTGTCAATCAACTGTGTGTGTGTCTATGT